AATCGTGTGCTGTTTATAAGAGACACCCCTAAAACAGTGACAGAGAAAATTTAACCTAGTAGGATGAATCTCCCCATGATAAGTCTATCCTTTTTGGTACCCTTTATTTCTTTCCTTCTCCACCTATCAAAACCCTTCTAATAGGTAGATGTATTTGTACATGCCTGGAATCTCTCTTGAAGAATAAGCAAGAAGCTGATAACATTGGTTACTCCAGGGAGGTGAACCGGGTGACTGACTGGAGGATAGAGGTGCGAGGGAGATTTCACCTTTTGAATTGTGAATTATGTACATATATTACTTTTTTTTTTTTAAAGAACAAGTCAAACAAACTAAAAATGAAACCGAACTGTATGATCCTTAAGTGAAAGTCATCCCCTTTCCTCAAAAAATTAAAAATAGAATTAACATGTGCTGCAGCAATTCTGCTTCTGAGTATATACTCAAAAGAATGGAAAGCAGAGTCTTGAAAAGATATTTGTGGCAGGGCACAGTAGCTCATGCCGGTAATCCCAGCACTTTGGGAGGCCGAGGCAGGCAGACAACTTGAGGCCAGGAGTTAGAGACCAGCCTGGCCAACATGGTGAAACTCCATCTCTACTCAAAACACAAAAGTTAGCCAGGCATGGTGGCGAGCACCTGTAGTCCCAGCTGCTCAGGAGGCTGAGGCAGGAGCATTACTTGAATCTGGGAGGCAGAGGTTGCAGTGAGTTGAGATTACGCCACTGCACTCCAGCCTAGATGACAGAACAAGGCTCCACCTTGGAAAAAAAAAAAAAAAAAAAAGAAAAGAAAAGATATTTGTACACCCATGTTCATGGTGGCATTAGTCATAATAGCTAAAACGTGGTAGCAATGCAGGCATCTATCAAAAGACGAGCGGATAAGCAAAATGTGGTACGTGCATATGATGGAATAGTATTCAGCCCAAAAAAGGAAGGAAATCCTGACACGTGCTACAACATGGATGAGCCTTGAGGACATTATGCTAGTGAAGTAAGTCTGTCCCAAAAGGACAAATACTGTATGATTCCATCTATATGAGGTACTTAGAGTAGTCAAATTCATAGACAGAAAGTAGAATGAGTTGGCCGGGCGCGGTGGCTCAAGCCTGTAATCCCAGCACTTTGGGAGGCCGAGGTGGGCGGATCACGAGGTCAGGAGATCGAGACCATCCTGGCTAACCCAGTGAAACCCCGTCTCTACTAAAAAAAATACAAAAAAAAAAAACCTAGCCGGGCGAGGTGGCGGGCGCCTGTAGTCCCAGCTGCTCGGGAGGCTGAGGCAGGAGAATGGCGTGAACCCGGGAGGCGGAGCTTGCAGTGAGCTGAGATCCAAAAAAAAAAAAAAAAAAAGAATGAGTTGCCAGGGCCTGCGAGGAGGGTGGGGAATGGGGAGTTGTTTAATGGGTACAAAGTTGCAGTTTGGGAAGATGAAAAGAGTTCTGTGGATGGATGATGATGATGGTTTTACCTAATATGAATTTACTCAGTACCACTGAATTATACGCTTAAAAATGGTTAAGATGGTAAATTTTATGTTATGTGTAATTTTGCCACAACAAAAAAATTGACAAAGAGGCCAGGTGCAGTGGCTCACACCTATAATCCCAGCACTTTGGGAGGCCGAGGCAGGCAGATCACCTGAGGTCAGGAGTTTGAGATCAGCCTGGCCAACATAATGAAACCCCATCTCTACTAAAAATACAAAAATTAGCCAGGCATGGTGGCGGGTCCCTGTAATCCCAGCTACTTGGGAGATTGAGGCAGGAGAATCACTTGAACCTGGGAGGCGGAGGTTGCAGTGAGCCGGTGCACTCCAGCCTGGGTGACAGAGTGAGGCTCCGTCTCAAAGCAAAAAAAAAAAAGGAAAAGAAAGAGGCACAGTTGCTCCCTTCCAAGAGGCCCCCTTCCCACACATCTCCCTCTTCTCTGACCTTGTGTTGCTGTTAGGAAAGTTCAGCCCATCTCTAGGCATGTTAGTTTCCTGGCAAAACCACAGACTCAGATCCTTGAGGACAGGCCTCTTTTATTTATTTATTTTTAATAAACAACAACAACAACAACAACAACAACAAAAACTACACCTCCATACTCCTGGATGGCAAAGTATTTAATGAATGTTTGATGTTGGCATATTTAGCTTCCTAGGCTAAATCTACCCTTGGCGAGCATACTTTCTGGGGCTCTGGAAATAGGAACACTGCCAACTTGACCACTGTGATGTGGTGGAAAGAGCTCAGGCTTTGAGCTGACTGGGATTGAAATGCCAGCTCAGCCACTGTGGCTTCAGGCAAATAAGTGCACCACCCCGGCCTCAGTTTTCTTCACCAAAAAATGGGATAAGAATGTGTGCTTAAATACAATGTGGTTCTTCAGAAGGATGGGTTTGGTGAAAAATATACATAATGCAGACCATTCTTATCTGTTTTCTACATGGAGAGAGCTGTGGATCAAGCACTTATTCCTCTCCTGACTGTGCCTTTTCCTATCTCTATGTCAGGAGGCAGAGAGAAATCTGCTGAGGGAACAGAATACTTTTTTGTTTATTTTTCCTTTTTATAACTTTTGTCTTTTGAGATCATTGTAAACTCACATGCAGTTGTAAGAAGTAATACAGAGAAATTCCATATACCCTTCATCCAGTTTCCCCCAGTGGTAACATCTTGCATAGCTATAGTACAATGGCACAGCCAGAGATTGACAGGGGTACAACCCATTGACCTTATTCAGGTTTCACCAGTTTTACATTCACATGGGTTTGTGTGTGTGTGTGTGTGTGTGTGTTGAGTTCTATGCAGTTTTATCCCACGTGCAGATGTGTAGATCCTCAGGCTATCCTTTTATAGCCACAGGTCTTAGTTCTGTTTAAGGGCTCCTGTTTCAGAAGGATATTTATCCTACATGCATCACTGAGGTTTCCTTCAAAGACTCCCATCTTCACAGCTCCACTACTGCCTTTATCTTTCTTTTTCTTCCACATCTTAAAGGTTCCTTAGAGAGTAGGAACAGGCCAGGAGTGGTGACTCATGCCTGTAATCCCAGGATGTTGGGAGGCCCGGGTGGGAGGATCACTTGAGCCCAGGAGTTTAAAACCAGCCTGGGCACCTTTCCCATGACTTAGGGGAAAAAAAAAGAGAGAGAGAGAGAGAGAGAGAGAGTTGGAACAAGTAATGGGTGCATCAGATAATCCCCTACTCATCTTCATTAAAATGTGTCCTACGTCCCCTGGAGCCCCCTAGACTTGAGAAGGGCCCCTATTCCAGCAGAGGCCTTTGGGGGACAGGTCACTCACGTGTCTTCAGACATGCACTACACCTGCCCCTCCCATTTCACCATGACCCGGTGGCAGTGAAGAGAAGCCATCATTCCTATTAACTTATTTGAGGTCCAGTAGGCTCCTGAGAGCTGGATTTACCACCTGATTCATGTGGTAAGATCCTGCGTTCCAGCCTGGGCCAGTGTGGGCTCAAAGCGTTCCCACTTTGGTGAGCTCCAAACCTCCTGAATTACCTTTCTTTCCCTTTGTGGACGTCTTCTTTGGAGCTGCAAATTCCAGTTCTGGGTCGTTTCATCCTTATAAGGCAATACAGTCCTTGGGTGTTTGGGGGTGTGCCAAAGGAGCAGCTGGCAAGGTCAGGGACCCAGAACTCTCAACATGTTCCCATCAGTTGGACTTGTGCTCATTGAAAAGTGAAAAGTGGATCCCATCAAAGGTGCCCCTTTCTTTGTTCCCTGGGATCCACTTTTCAGATATGTGCTTTGTGGCCTCAATGATACTGGTGATCTAATCTCTCTGGGCCTCAGTCTTCCCATCTGTGAAATTGAACCAACAGGCCCTCCCAGGGCTCTCATTGATGCTTCAGTGAGATAACGGCTGCAGCAGGCTCAGAGCCTTGGTGGCAAGTGCTCAGTGAAAAGAGCTGTCAGATGCCACCCTATTTGTTATGCTTCTCCTCACTCCCCAGTCACTGGCCGTACATGTCACTCCACGGGGGCTGGATATGCCATCCTCATCCTTCCATATCTTTCTCTAGATTAACTGTCCTAAGAATTGGGTCTCATCTTGAGGGTGGGAGGAGAAACCAAAACAGGTGATGTGTAATTAGGGACTTAACATGACTCAACTATACGCTGGCTGCATCCCCTGTTTCCCAGGCCATTTAAGCCACTTCCAATTATACAAGATTAACTTGCTTGCTAGGACTCCCAGAGAAACCTGAGGTCCCGGGCTCTGTCTCTCTCTCTCTCTCTCTCTCTGTCTCTGTCTCTCTCTGTGTCTCTGTCTCTCTCTCTCTGTCTCTTTCTCTCTCTCTGTCTCTCTCTCTCTCTGTCTCTCTCTCTCTGTCTCTGTCTCTGTCTCTCTCTCTCTCTTCCTCCCTCTCTCTCTTTTTCACGGCCCAGGACAGAATAACTCAGAGCTTCCCTTGGGAGGGTGCACAGGACACACAGCGAGAGGCAGAGCTCAGATCTTGCTTCTTTTCTTCCTTGGCCTCTCACACCCCCAGCCCTGCTGCCAACCCATGAAATCCTGCACCCTGGGGCGTCCCTGGGGGGGCAGTGGCCCATCTCTCTTTACAGGGAGGCAGGATTGGCAGGATTTGGCTAATAAGAACCAGCTGTGTTGTTGGTGGGTTTTACTCTGCCCCTCCCCTGCCCTTGCTCTGATAGCTGTGAGAAACTGATGACAACCTGTTTGACCTCTGACCTCCGAACTTGACCCGCTGCTAATACCTCCAGCTGCTGATTGCCGGCCGAGCCCTTTGTCTCAGGCTGTTTGGGAGCCAAGACAGACAAATGATTTCTATTTGTCCTCTGGTGCCGCGGACGGAGCTGATCGATAGGAACCGCGAATGATGTCAAGGATTTGTCACCATGGCTTATGAATGACAAAAACGCTCCTCGACTCCCCCCTCTACCTTTTCCCCCTCCCCAAAGAAACACCTTTTGGGGGAAAAAAGAGTGAAAGCCAGAGAAGGCATATCGATTTTTTTTTTTTTTTTTTTGCTTTCTTAAATAGCAGCTCGAGCCACAAAAGAGAGAAAGACAACACTTTTCTGTGCTAAAATGCAGCAAAAAGCTTCCCAGAGAACGAGACTAGTGATTAGATCAGCTATTGCATTTAAGTACCACAGCCCGCCTCACAGCACAACCGCTCAATTTCATCTGCTGAAGGCTGTACCATTTCTCTCCCATTTCTGATCATTCCAGACACAAGGGAGGCTCCCAGCAAGAAGGCACTTTGCTCTCTTCTCACTTCTTCATCTGCCTTCAGCTTGGTGACCATCTCTGTCCCTTTTTCTCCTTCAATCTTCTTCCTTTTTCCTGGTTGAGAATGGGTTGGACATCCTGGTATGTGAGTCTGAACTGGTTTCCAGCCTTTAGCTAGAGCTTATCACAGCCTTTGAATTTGGATGCTTATTTGGAAAAGAAAAGACAGAAGGTGGGGACATGATCTCAATGGCAGGGGACACACAGTTTGGGAAAGCCCCTATCGGTCTCCCATGCAGGGGTGGGGGCAAGTTTCAGAGGGAGGCTGGGGAGGCAGCCCATCCCTCTGGAAAGCTGGGAAGCCCCAAAGCAGGGAAGGCAGCAGGGCGCCCCCTCCTCCCACTTCAACATCTGACGCCTTCAGTGAGAGCCTCTCTGTGCTGGCACGGGACCACAGGGCGAGTGAGATCTGTCTGCTTGTCCTTGGGAAGCTCACCCTCTAGGACAGGCGAGCAAACCGTGGCAGGGCAGCCAGATGGATGCATGCTGGGGCAGAGGAGAGAAGGGAGTGGGGAAACCTGGAGTGGCAACAAGGGTTGGTTGGGGGTCCTTGGGATCACTAGAGGAGGGGACACTCTTGTTGAGCTTGGACAAATAAGCAGCAGTAGAAAGAGGGCCACTGCGTTCCAGGCTGTAGAGACCAAGGACCTCATCCAGCCTGTGGTGTGGTCTCTTTAGGCTATGCCTTATTGGAGGCCCCAGAGTGAGCAGCCATTGCACGAACGACTCAGAGACTCCATTTTCTCATCTGTGAAATGGACACGGCAATGGCATCCACCTCATGGGGTTGCCAAGAGTATTACACGGGATAATCCATGCAAAGTGTTGATACTGTCTTGTCATACATGTGGCTGTTCTTGTTTTTATTCTTTTTAGCCATTAATATTCGAAGACTTGCTTCCAATCTGGAGATTCCTCAGTCAGGCTGACTAAATGAGGGTGGAGAGAGATAGCTCCTACTTCCCACACACCCTAAGTAGAACCACAACCTGGGTGTAGTGGGGAAGCCAAATAAATGGGGCTCTGGCAGGATGAGGCCTCTGACCAAAGTCACAGCACGGCTCTGGAGAAGACCAGAATGACCTCTCTCCTCAAGCACAGGCCCTGGGCATAGACAGCAGAGAATGCCTGCTCCCAGATGGGGCTTAGACTGAGTAGCTACAAGGATACAAGGCTATGTAGGACTCAGTACTGATTGCTTGGACTATTGCAGTAGCCACCTACCTGGTCTTGGGTCTCTCCCATCCACTGTCTATACCACCATCAGGTTGACTGTCCCACCTCAGATCTGATCATGACACTTCTCTGTTTGGATCCCTCCAGTGGCTCCTCATTTTCTCTAGGATAAAGCAAAAACATCTTATACCAGCATTCAAGGCCACCCCGTAGTCACCTGTTTTGCATCATGCTAACCACACAAATCATACATCCTGTGTGGCTCTACTACCTGACCTTTGCTCAAGCTAGTTTCTCTATATGAAATGCCCTCTTCGCCTCCATTTTAGTAGGAATTCTCCTTTCTTTCTCCATTTCTTCCCACAGCACACTGTTCTTCCGTTCTAGTACTTACAGCCCTTGATCAGAATGATTCTGTTCACTTCTGTCTCCTGTCTTGATTGAGGGCTCTGAAGGCCAGGAACAACACTGTGCAGAGGCCATCACACCAGACAACTGTGTACTGAATGGAATATTTGGAAAGTGCTTGAATCTTAGAGAAAACTTAGGAAGTGGTGAGGGGTGGTGGCATGGGAGTGGGAGGTGCTGGGCTTTAACAAAAGACAATGGTAGACAAAGTAGTTTTCAGATTGATCAAAATGTGAAGTGATTAAAGTCGGGGGTTTGCCATCAGTGACTCACAAATAGCTGCTCAATTAAAATGTTTGCCAGGTCTGGTGGCTCATGCCACTCAACACTTTTTTGGGAGGCTGAGATGGGAGGATTGTTTGAGCCCAGGAGTTCAAGACCAGCCTGGGCAACATAGTGAGACTCCATCTCTACAAAAAAATTTAAAAATTAGCCAGGCTTAGTGGTGCATGCCTGTGGTCCCAGCAACTCAGGAGGCTGAGGTGCAAGGATGGTTTGAGCCTGAGAGGTCAAGGCTGCTGTGAGCTGAGATCATGCCACTGCACTCCAGCCTGAGTGACAGGGCAAGACTCTGTCTCAAAAAAAAATTTTTTTTAAACACTGAAAATACAACACACTTATTATGGAAAATTCAAGCAATATGGAAAAGTAGGTCAGATTAAGTGGCTCATGCCTGTAATCTAGCACTTTGAGAGGCCGAGGCCAGAGGATCACTTGAGGCCAGGAGTTCAAGACCAGCCTGGACAACATAGCGAGACCCTGGTCACTAGAAAAAATAAAATAAAAATTAGTTGGGTGTAATGGCATGCACCTGCAGTCCTAGCCACTTGGAAGGCTGAGGTTGGAGGATCACTTGAGTTCTGAGTTTGAGGCTACAGTGAGCTATAATTGGTCATGCCACTGTACTCAAGCCTGGTCAACAGAGTAAGACCCTGTCTCAAAAGGAAAGAAAAGAAAAGTAAAGTAAAGAAAGAAAGAAAGAGAGAGAGAAAGAAGAAAGAATTTTAAAAGTTTAAAAATGAAAAAAGTATAAAAAGGTAGTAAAAATTCTCTTAAAATCATCTTGTATTGATTAGAACTATTTCTTCTAGCCATGGCAGAAAACAGCTCAAACTAGCTTACGTGTAAGGGGATTATTGGCTCTTGGGACAGAGGAGCGTGGTCAGGCTCAAATGATGCCCTCTGGACCTGCTCTCTCTTTCACACTGTCTCACTCTCACTCTCTGGCATCCCTTGGCTCTCCTCCATGCTGGCTTTATAGGCAGGCTTCCGCTTTGTGATTCCAGGGCAGCTACATCTATTCCAAATCTCTCATCTCTAAGCTTAGGGTCCAGCAGGGAAGAAAGACTGTCTATGACAGATTGTCTTTTCTGTAGAAGGTCACATGATATCTCCATCTCACATGCTCTTCTGCAATGTGACCTTGCAACTTCCCCATCAAGAGGTGAGGTCTAATTCCCCTCCTCTTGGATCTGAGCTGGTGAGCTGGCTTTAGTGACTCATTTGCAACCAAGAGAATGTGGCAAAGTGGTGCTGACATGGTTTCTGAGCTAAGTCAGAAGCCTCGCCGCTTTTGCTTTGGCTTCTTAAAATACCCTCCAGAGTCTTCCCTCTTAAAGACGCTGCCCCTGGGAACAAGATGCCAAGCTGTCAGAAGTCCAAGCTACATGCAGCCCACGTGTAGGTGCTCCAGTAGACAGCTCCAAGTAAGCCAGCCTTCCAGTGACTCCAGGTCTGAAGAGCTCTCCAGCTGATTCCTGGTCAAGTCATCTGTAGCTGGAAGTTGCAACTTCCCAGCTGAGGCCCTGGATATCATGGGGCAGAGATAAAGCATTCCAGTTGTGCCTTCTCCAAATTCCTGACAACAGAATTGGTTATAAAATGGTTGTTGTTTACACCATGTACATTTTAGAGAGCTTTGCTATGCAACACAGTCTTTCTCAGGATCTCTAGAATAATCCATGCTGATGTCCCCTGGTCAATCCCCTTAGCCCATCCAAGGGCACAGTCAGTCATCCTAATCCCAGGGCAAGTCAGCTCCATCAGAATGAGAACTGGGGCCACTGGGCACGCCCAGATGGTCACTGGGCACTGGTTACCCACAGAAGGTACAAACCACAGAATCCACTTCCTACCACAATTTAGCACAAATGAAGCACACTCTCCATGATCTTTTGTAACCTTTTTAAATTCAATGGATTATGGGGCTCTGTTGATGTCAATGGATACATACATCTTTTTTTTTTTTCGAGACAGGGTCTTGCTCTGTTGCCTATGCTGGAGTGTAGTGGTGCAATCATAGCTCACTACAGCCTCAAATTCCTGGGCTCAAATGATCCTCCCACCTTAGCCTCCTGAGGAGCTGGGACTCCAGGCATGTACCACCACACCTGGCTAATTTTTCCATTTTTATTTTTTGCAGATACAGGATCTCACTATATTGCCCAAGCTGGTCTTGAACTCCTGGCCTCAAATGATCCTCCTGCTTCAGCTTCCCAAAGCTCTAGGATTGGCCGGGCGCAGTGGCTCACGCCTGTAATCCCAGCACTTTGGGAGGCTGAGGCAGGCGGATCACAAGGTCAGGAGATCGAGACCACGGTGAAACCCCGTCTCTACTAAAAATACAAAAAATTAGCCGGGCGCGGTTGTGGGCGCCTGTAGTCCCAGCTACTCGGGAGGCTGAGGCAGGAGAATGGCGTGAACCCGGGAGGCGGAGCTTGCAGTGAGCCGAGATCGTGCCACTGCACTCCAGCCTGGGCTGGGTGACAGAGCGAGACTCCGTCTCAAAAAAAAAAAAAAAAAAAAAAAAGCTCTAGGATTACAGGTGTGAGCCACCATGCCCCAGGCATCATTTTTAATAGCTGCATATGATTTCATTATATGAATGAAGTATAATTGATTTAACCAGCTCTCTATTTATGGATCATTAACTCGTTTCCATTTTTTTGCTATTATAAATAGTACTGAGATAAACACCATTGCATATATACCCTTGGGCACATCTTTCAGTGTTTCCTTAGGATAAATTCCAAGAAGGTGAATTGTAGATTCTAAGGTTATACACATTTTCCAGGCTTGCCAAGGTTTCTAAATTGCCTTCCAGAAATGTTTTTCTTTCCTTAATTCCTTTCCTTTCCCTTCTTTCTTTTCCTTCCTTCTTTCCTTCCTTCCTTTTCTTCCTTCCTTCCTCCTTTCTTTTTCTTTCTCTCTTTCTTCTTTTCTTTCTTCCTTCCTTCCTTTCTTCTTTCTTCTTCTTTCTTCTTTCTTGCTTTTTCTCTTTCTTTTTCTTTCTTTTTTTCTTCCTCCCTTCCTCCCTTTCTTCCTTCCTTCCTTTCTTCCTTCCTTCCTTCCTTTCTTCCTCCCTCCCCTCCTCTCTCTTTTTCTTTCTTTATGAGACAGGGTCTCACTCTGTTGCCCAGGCTGGAGTACAGTGGTGCAATTATGGCTCACCAAAGGCTCAGCCTCCTGGGCTAAAGTGATCCTCCCATCACAGCCTCCTGAGTAGCTGGAACTACAGGCGTGCACTACCATGCCTGGTTAATTTTTAAATGTTTTGTAGAGATGGGGTATCACTGTGTTGCCCAGGCTGGTCTCAAACTCCTGGGCTCAAATGATCCTCCCATCTCTGCCTCCTAAAATGTTGGGATTACAGGCATGAGTCACTGTGCCTGGCCCAGAAGTGTACTTTTTTACACTGCTGTTGTCCCACCAACAAAGCACAAGAGTGGCCATTTCTCCATATCCTCAGTAACATGAAATATTTGCCAATGGGAAAAGTGAACAAATGATTCCTCATTGATGCTTTAATTTGAATTTCTTTGATTACTAGTGAGGTCAGGTACCTTCTCATATCTATTTCTTCTTTTGTAATATTGCCTGTTCATGTCCTTTGACCATTTTTGTTGTTGTTGCAGTGTTCATGTATTTTATTATTAACTCATAAAAACTTTTTATATATTAGAATGTTAACTTTTGTTGCTCATATGTCTTAGAAACATTTGTTTGTCCTATAAGTTTGTATGGGGCAGGCACTCTTTTTTTTTTTTTGAGATGAAGTTTTGCTGTGTCACCCAGGCTGGAGTGTAGTGGCGCGATCTCGCCTCACTGCAACCTCTACCTCCTGGGTTCAAGCGATTCTCCTGCCTCAGCCACCTGAGTAGCTAGGACTACAGGCGTGCGCCACCGCACCCAGCTAATTTTTGTATTTTTAGTAGAGATAGTGTTTCACCATGTTGCCCAGGCTGGTCTCGAACTCCTGACCTCATGATCCACCTGCCTTGGCCTCCCAAAGTGCTGGGAATACAGGTGTAAGCCACCGTGCGCAGCCCGGCACTCTTAAACTAATAAGCCAAGCCCCCAAATAAGACAGAATCTAAGCCTTCAAAAGTAGTTGACACCTGGCAAGAGACTTAAACCATTCTTGTCAGAGGGCATCAGCAGCCACCTAGAGAAGAAGAGAAGAATCCAGGGTGGGGGAACTGGAAAGGCCAACAGAATTGACCATCCTGAGAGGAGGCTCCAATACCTACACCAAAGGAGGCAGATGTCTCAGGAAGCCAAATGCCAAAGTAGCAGACAAAAGTCAGAACTGGGGAGGAGTGAGGCAGAAGAAACCAGGAGGCCAGGGACTCTGCCATTGTCCAAGACAGCCCCAGGCTCCATCCCAGTGCAAGGCCGCTCTCTCTGGTTGGCTCCTGCTCTAGAGGCCCTGTGGGAGCAGGGGCACCCTTGGGAGCAGTGCTAGAGGTAGGAGGCCCTTAGGGTCCCCCAAGCTTGGAGAGGCATTGCTAAGCAGCCAGAAGGGTATAAAGGTGATTTAGCCCTGGGATCATGGAGGGAGTCAGGCCATTACCAAGGAAACAATGGGACTGAGTGTTCAGTCTGAAGGGCAAGGCAAGGATCCTGTAGCCGACATTCTGCCCAAATTCTCCTTGGTGCTGAGTGTGTTAGCTGTAATGGCTCTCAGCTCCCCCCATCTCTGGAGAATTGCACTGGCTGAATGGGAGCTGCCTACCCTGAAAGGTTACACATTCCTGGGAAGCCCATAACCAATGACTGATTGACACGAGGGGAGGAGAGGGTGCAAAAGGCTGGCCCCTTGCCTCAAGGAGGGACCAACTCTCTGGCTCAGCTGATGCTCCAGAGCGCCCTGTGATACCAGGTTGAATCTGGCTGAGGCTGTATCCTTGCTCATCTCTCCCCTTGCCTAATTCTGCTTCTTTCATACCCTTTCTCCTGAGACCACACCCCTGATGAATCACACGTGCCCTAATCCTTGTCTCAGACTCTGCTTCTAGGGACCCTGTCCTATGACGGAGCCCAAGCTGCAAGTTCAGGAGCAGGATGGGATGAGATGAAAGGAGAGGGGCAGAAAGGGTGATTCAGAACCAGAGCTGGGCTATTTGAATGGGGACTGGGGCTCTCCTTGTTGGGGTGGGAGGGATATTGTAGATTGCCCAGCACTCACTGCCCCATCTACTAAAAACTGAAGCCCAAATTCCCTTTGGGAAACTACTTCTCCATTCCCTAGGTGATCTGGTGGGATTATACCACCCACAGCTCCAGGGATGGGCTCTGGGTTTACTCAATCTTTGTGTCCTCCACCCTCTCCACCAGTCATACTGAGTGCTCCAGAGCGTATAAACCAATCACAGCCAGTGAAATGCTGAGACTTCTGGGAAGGGAAATTCCCTCTTTTCCACTGGATTAGGCGAATATGTATCTTAGTGTGGCATAGCTATTTTTGCCAGCCACAAAGCTGAAGAATAGAGATAAACACAAGCAACTGAGCTGAGAGATGGATTCTGGTGATGTCATTTGGGCCTTGTATCAAACTTTACCTGAAGCCAGATCTACCCCTGAACTATCCCATTATGAGAATCAATAAACTCTCCCTGTTTTCTGAAGCTGAGGAACGTTTTCTGTCACTTGCAACCAAGAGTCCTAAAAGACATGTATGGTGTGCATTGAATGGTTCATGCAGGGGTCTAAAGGAACCCAGCAAGCCCATACAAGTTAAAGCCAGGAGGGTGACCCCTAATCTGTCTTTCTTCACTCCTATTCCAGGCAACCTGCTCCCTCCCCAGGGCCATGTTGATTGGGGAAAATTGGCCAGAGTGAGGCCAGGTCAGGACAAACCCAGTACTGTTGTCATCATTCAGCATCCGTGGCCAATTCCTTCCACAGTGGCCTTCAGATTCTTTCTGCAGAACTGCCTCCCCCAGGCAGTTCATTGCTTCTTCTCCCCTCTCTGGAATGGAGCAAAGGAAGTCTATTGTAGGCGAGGAAGAACAAGGCTGTTTCCAATGCCACATCAATTAGGTGGTGAGGGAGCTTTCTTTGTTGAGTGTTTTCTCTTCAGACTAGGAGGCAGGAAGGTAAGTGGGTATGGGAGAAAGACCATGTGCTTTGGAGCTGGATAAACTTGGGCTCTGGTCCTGGCACTTCCAGCTGTGTGGCCTATTTGATGTCTCTGTGCTTCAGGTTATCCATCTGTAAAGCATGGAGAAGCATGTCACCCTTAGAGGAGCTCTAGAGCACAGAGCTGATGACGCAGCTGACTAGGTCCAGGCCAGGCCTCACTGAGGTGTATTGTCAAGGGCCAGGAGAGGGGATGCAGATCCCTAGACCTGAGAGAGGCAAGGATAAGTTCAGTTCCTGGGATTCGCAGTGGGAATGCCTGGAATTTGGCCAAGAGACAAGATAAATTGGGGCCCAGTGCACCCTCTCCCCAAGCCAGTGCAGGGTCTGGGGCTCATGGCACCTGCAGCAGGAGTTAAATGGCACCCTCTGGGGATGGGAACGTGGTCCAGGCAAGCTAGGCACTACTTTTTACCCTCCTTCTTAACCAAACCAGTCTCCCAGTCACCTCTGATCCCAGCAAAAATAGTATCAAGTCAGAAGGAAGAAGGCCCCAGGGCTGGAGGCAGGGCAAAGTCCTCCCTCCAGCCCACACCTAGAGGGAGAGGCCAAAGTGACCAGGACCTCAGCTGGAAGAAGGGGCCCAGTACAGCCTCCCCGAGTAGTTTCTGCTGCCCTGGGTGGAGTAGGTGGATGTTTTCAAGCAGATCTCCTGAAAAACATAAGAGAAGGCCCTCAAAGGACAGTCCCAAGGGAGCTCCAGGGGGAGGATGTGGAGGAAGCAGGAAACTAGTGTTTACTGAGCATCTAGTAAGCACCAGGCCTGGAGCTTTAAGTCCACAGTCTTAACTAATGCTCATGGCTAGCTGGGGAATAAAAATTATTCCTCTTTTGCATATGGGGAAACTGAGTCCCTTTGCCCTGAAGTATCTTGCCTGAGACCAGCTGAGGGGTGCCAAGGCCAGGATCCCAGCATCGGTAGGTTAGGCTCCCAGGAGTTCCTGCTTTCCCAAGTGGCACAGCGGCACTTCCATGGTGGCCTCTGGAGGAAGCACTGCCCTTCCTGGAGGAACCCCCTGCAGCCTTCTGAAAGCCAAGGCCTGATGTGACATCTGGAATTGGCCTGGAGCCAACCAGACTGAACCCAAGAGACAGCCCTGGCTCAGCTGCTGCAGGAGAGGAAGAGGGGCGGATCCACAGGAAGTCGGGAAATGCCCCCAACCCTGGCAACCCCCTCTCACCTTCAGCACCAACCCCCCTACCCCTTGGAGAACTGGGCCTTGTGAGGGACTGGGTAGGGGAGCTGGCCTGTGAGGAGATAGAGGTGTGCCTCCTTCCAGGGACCATTTCGTAGGGATCTCCCTCTGAATTCCTGAGTCAGTCAGGTTGAATGGAAAGAAAGCACAGAGCATGGAGTCACACAGATCTGGGTTGACCCTCAGTCCCACCATTTCCCATCTGTGTCTACAGGCCCATCACACAAACCTCTCTGGGCCTCAGATTCTTCAGATGAAAAATGGGAATGATGCCTACCTCCTGGCATCCTTGTGAGGATTGAATGAGGAGAAGCACGTGGAGATGCTGAGCGCCCTGCCTGGAACAGAGCGGACACTCAATACCTGTTAGTTCTTCATGGAACCAGGCATGGTGGCTCATTTCTCAGTGCTTTGGAAGGCCAAAGCAGGTGGATCGCTTGAAGCCAGGAGTTTGAGAACAGCCTGGGCAACATAGCAAGACCTCTGTCTCTACAAAAAAAAGAAAAAAAAAGTTTTAATTAGCCAGCTATGGTGATACATGATTGTAGTCCCAGCTACTCGGGAGGCTGAGGCAGGAGGATTGCTTGAGCCCAGGAATTAGAGGCTGCAGTGAACTGTGATTGCACCACTGTACTTCAGCCTGAGTGACATGTGAGACCTGGTTTAAAAAATAAATAAATAAATAAATGTTAGTTCTCACTCTCCATTTGAAATTCTCATGACCATGAAATCTCATCTAGCCCATTTATATGACTAAATTATAAATAATGTCTAACATTTATTGAATACATACTATGTGCTAGACATTGCTCTGAATGTTTTAATCTGTTACTTCATTTAATCCTCAAACAGTCCCATGAGGCAAATGATTATCCCTATTTGACAGATGAGGAAACCGAGACACAGATGTTAAAGCAACTTGCCCAAAGTCACACAGCTAATGAGTGGCAGAGTCAGGATTTGAATTCAGCTTAGCTTGGCTCTGAATCCTGGACAGAGAGCATGCCCCCTTTTGCCTTCCCTTTCTCCAGTCCCTTCCCATGCCCACTGTATGCTCCTAAGCCCCTTCCATGAGTAAGTGCCATGCTGGGGGGCAGAGGGAACTAAATGAGATACTCAAGGAGCTCGTGGGCCAGGGCAGGAGATAAAAGGCACAGAAACACAAGGTAAGAAGGGGGTAAATGTCACAAAAGGAAAACTGAGTTGCAAGTTGAGAAAAGGAGGGATCAATGTCAGAGACCAACATGGTGCAGGGTGGGCATCCCAGGCAAAGGCAATCTTTTCTTTTTCCCCCTGAGATGGAGTTTCACTCTTGTTGCCTAGGCTGCAGTATAATGGCATGATCTCGGCTCAATGAAACCACCATCCCCCAGGTTCAAGTGATTCTCCTGCCTCTGCCTCCTGAATAGCTGGGATTACAGGTGCGTGCCACCATGCCCAGCTAATTTTCATATTTTTAGTAGAGACAGGGTTTTGCCATGTTGGCCAGGCTGGTCTCAAACTCCTGACCTCAGGTGATCCACCCACCTCGGCCTCCCAAAGTGCTGGGATTACAGGTGTGAGCCACCGCGCCCGGGGGCAATATTTCCTTTTTTAAAATAGAGATAAGGTCTTGCTCTGTTTCTCAGGCTGGTCTTGAACTCCTGGCCTCATGTGATCCTCCCACCTCAGCCTTCAAAACGCTGAGATTACAGGCATGAGACACTACCCAACCATCCCAGGCAAAGGGAAGAGCAAGAACAATGGAGTCGAGGTGGGAAATGTCTTTGAGGTATGGGCACTTTAAGGGGAGTTTTGTGGTCAGATTTAGGAGGGTAAGTTGGGGACAAATAGTGAGTGCCTCCTTGGGACTTTAGTCTCTATACCAGCAGGGAGAGGATTGAAGGCTTCTCTGAAGATAAGTGACACCAACAAATTTGTGCCATATAAACACAGCTCTGCCAGCAGTGCGAAGCTGGCATGGGACTGGATGAAGTTAGGTACAGAAGCAGTTTGGGAGGCAGTTGTAATGGCCTGGTTGAGCATTGATGGGGGTCTGCACTAAGGTGGAGACCATGGATGAGATACTCCATAGCTCTCTCCCTGGGGGAGCAGTGGCTAAGAAAGGTCATTTGTATCTGGACAGCAGCTGGTGTCTCCTAGCTCAGCCTAGTCCCACTGGTCAGCTCAGTCTTGGTCACCTGTTCCCACCACCCAGTGATGTGGGCGGTAAGTATCATTAACCCAAGCCATGGACTCACCCTCCCTTCCAACACATCTGGCCGGATAGATGCCCCTCCTCTACTTCCGCCCCCCACTTAAGGGTAGGAAGAAATGGCTTTCAGACCAGCTAAGCCTTTTCCCCCACTGCAGAAAGGTCACAGAAACACACCTGCCACCGTCATTTTATTAATACTGCCCACTAGAACCACGTACATGTACCTCAGCCATGTGGCGTCACAGAAGTAGCATTGGACTAGGAGCTGGGAGGTTTAGGTATGGATCCCAACATGGCTGCCCATGAGCTCTGTGGCCCTCAGCAATCTATTTATGCTTTCTGAGCCTCGATTTTCCCATCTGTGACATGGGGATAAGGTGCCTCCCTTCCAGGATTGCTTTGTGGACTGAAAGGGTGTACGTGAACATCTTCTGCAAACCTTTGGAGTGCCATTTAAATGTTGAATTTTGTGTATACTCATTCATCCCACCAATCTTCGTTGGGCTCTGACTATAGGTGCCAGAGTGTGAATACACCTTTGTACTACCACATTCACGGTCCATTCCAGCCTTGCTGCCTTCCTGTCATGAGGAAGAACTTTGCGTGAAACACAAGCTATCTTCACATCCTGTCTACGACAAATAGGAAAATGGCTTAAATTAAAGGAGGAAAGATTTGATCAGGACTAACTTCCCAACGCAGGAGGCTAGTCGGTTCCTGGAAATCTTCCCAGAAGAAGAGAATCAATTAAGTATTTTGCCCAGAGTAGACACCAAATCAATTGTTGAGTGGAATTGACTCTGTCATATCATTTGCCAGGAGACAAGAGAGTTGATCCAATGACTTAGGACCCACTTTTCCATCTGACTTTCCATATGCCATATATACAAACTTGCATGTTTGGTGCAGGGGAAAGAGGCTTAGGCTGACACTTAGCAGAACTGCCTCAAACCAGCTGTGTGACCTTGTAAAGATCTCATGCCCTCTTTGAGTCTCTATTGTCTCTCCTGAGTGCCAACCAGAATAAGAAATATATCTAACCTCCTAGGATAGTGATAGTGTCTGCCCTTGACATTCCACAAGTGTTTGCTAAATGAATGAATGAATGGTGAGTGAATGAATGAATGAATGAATGGCACTCAGGAACATACATGATTCATGAAAGTGCCTCTTTCTTCTCTGAGCCTGAATGGGCCCACCTGGCAGATGTGGGCATTTGGTTGCCTGTTTCCAGGTTCCCTGTCAGTTCAGGCTTCTATGATCTGCCTCTGTGCTGGAGGAGAGCAGCTGGGGGATTTGGGATCTGCATCTTCACGCCCAGCAGCTCAGGCTGCCCTCCCGTTTCAGGGCATGGACAGCAGGTATGTGCTTCTGTTCCCACGGGGCCGCCTGGCTTAGCCCGAGGCTCCCTTTGCTGGGAGAGTAGCCTGGGCTGCAGCCCTGCACTGACCTGCTCTTAACCTCCAGGAAAGTTACACAAATTCCTCCACGCTCCACTGAGAGCTGGGTTGCACAAGGTGGGGGCAGGAACAATGCTTCCCCTTGTGCCCTCAGCCTATTCCACATTAGCACACATGGAGGAGGAACACAGGAGGCAAGCTGGTGGGGGCACCTAGCTCCGGTTTCAACCATGCCTGGAAATTGGATATTCCTCCCTGGCCAGAGCTCTCTGGGCCATGAAGTGGGGCTGGAGCTCAGGTCTCAGGAGAAACCCACCCTTTCCTCCCTGTGGTTTTCCCTCTGAGACCAGTCCTGTGCCTCAGTCACAGAGCAGATCTGTGCAACTCCTTAGCATTGCATATCCCTTTGGTAAATACATCCCAGTTCTGAGATGTACTGCATGAAGATGGTAGGAAGGAAAGGGTCTACCCTGGGAACCAGGAAACCTATGTCTGGTTCTGCTGTGGCCAAGTAAGATACCAAGAATGGGACTAGCCAGGGACTGAAAATGCAGGATGTGGAGCCAGGCCACCTTGGACCAGGTATCTACTACTTTGACGCTCCATTTCCTCATCTACTGTGATGGCACCTACCTACCTGGTTTTGTTATGGGGAATAAATGAGTTCTTATGCACAACATGCTTGCTTAGAGCAGAGTTCAACAAATGCCAGCCGTATGGTTTGCTCTCCACACAGGTTTCATGGGAATTAAAGGCATGTGCAGTCTTTCATCAACTTTCAAGGGAAAAGCAAATTGTTCAAATTGTCTAAAACAGAATAGAACTACTTAAAGTACATGAAACCAGCTGTCAAAATTGTGAACCATAATCACAGTTTTGATTGCTTTCTGACAGTGTAAAAATTGCAAATTTTT